ACTGAGCAAACTCAGGGAGGCAGTGAAGGACAGGAAGGCCTGGCGTGATATGATTCATGGGATCATGAAGAGTCGGACACGACTTAATGACTGAACAAAAATTTCCCACTTGTGTTCCTCAACAGTTGAAGTGTCTCAACAATTAAGTGAAATACTAGCTTGGTTATTAAATATCAATGAAGATAGGTAATTTATGGGCAATGAGTAGTATAGGGTTGCTTTGCCATAAAGATTAAAACTCAAAGTGATGAATTTAGAAGTCAATAGTGTCCTTGTATAATAAAGACTGAAAGTAAGTGGTGAAGATGTTTTACTGTTACCAGCCTCTGGGCTGATAGTGGGATGTATAAGGGAAGATTTTCAGTTACCGTATTTAGGAGATCAAAAACAATTAGAATCAATATGTAACGCTTTGGTGTGTGTTGAAGCAGACAGATCTATTGCTTAACTGATAATGGGGCAGGTTAGGACTTATTTTTTCAGGGATTTCCCTATGGAGTCAATTTGTATAGCAACAGTTTCAGTGTTGATCTTGTTTCAAAACAGCTAGTTAGACTCTACCATTCCATTTTTTTAGCCTTCATTCCTGTTTCACCCATTCTCACAAACCAATTTTCATGGTTTTCTCCTCCTTCTTATCACCTCTGTTCTGAAGCAACTCTGAGACCTATTGCAATAGGAGTTGTTGGGATAAAGTACTCCAAATAATCTCATTATGGTACAGAAGTTCACAGAAGACATTCAATTTTCTCAGTTAAGAAGCTGAACTTCCTGGTGGTGCAGGTGATAAGTCTGTGAACAATTGACTGCTTGTGTGCTTAGCATCCCTTTTTTCCAATTCTTAACTACAACAAAAAGCTAAAAATATACTAGTTTCCAACAATTACTCTGTGTAAGTAACTACTTTAGTAACCATAGGGATAATATATCAGTACAGATAAATTAACAGTAGAGTAAGGAAACATTGCGAACTTGGTTTTTCAAAAGATTTTACAAAGTCTCTTATCAAAAGATGTGAATACATATGATTGTTATGCAATAAAAGATCCAGTTCTTGACTGATTGTTATTTAAACAATTAAATTAAAGTCGCTCTCTGAGATGGGCGGTGACTACATTTGAAATATGAATAACTAAATAAAATAAAAATAAAAGTTAAGATGAAGAAATAATAAATTAGCAGTTTTCACAAACATGGGAAATTATCAGTAGGAACCCTCTAGAAACTATAGGAGCTGGGACTATTGTTTTTTCATTAACAATCTGAAACCAGGGATTAGATAAGTAATGAAGTACAGGTGATTGACTAGGAAAGGGATCTTGGCATTATAGCTGAATGTTTGATCAGTGCTATTATGTAAAAAACCCCAACAAATTCCATATTCAAGGTCATTAGGAAAGGAATTATCTATGGAGTCCTTGGGGTTCTCTGAGCTTGGTTCTTTTCTTGCAAATGTTTCATTACCCAGCTA